TTGCTCAGGGGACCATATGGGAATCGAACCCGGGTTGACTGCAAGGCGTATATACACCCTACCCACTGTAATATCGATCCAGCCCGTGCTTATGGTTTCAAACTCACTTAGGCTGCAGAGTGGAGAGTGGGCACTGAGCTGTAGAGACGCTGTGGTTCTGACCAAGGTGAGGCTAGCCTGGACTGGGAGGCACCCGGGCAGGGGAGGGAGAAGGATCAATAAGGAAAATCCCATTGGCCCAGGCAAGTGAGGGAGACAGAGGCAGAGTGTCCTGAGTGGGATCCCTAGGTTCCTGCCCTCCAGCTCAGGGGAGCAACTCCTTCTCTGCAGCAGTGGAACGCCTGTCTGGCTGGGACGGCCGCTTCAGGCCCGGCCACTGAACCCGCCTGCAGCTCCTTTCAACCACCTGCCCCAGCGTTGCACGCAAGCAGTGCCCCCTCTGGTTCCTGTGCCTCTGACTCTATCCCCAGAGGTTCCCTGTGGGAAAGGGCAGGTGGGGGGCGGTGACCAGCACAGAGACACAGTTCTGTTGAATTCATAATGTCTTTATTAATATATTATGCTACAAAAATATTTTTTGGCAAAATAACATTAATAGCATCTTTCTTTGTCTTCCATTATATTCTTAGAGAACTCTTCACGGGCATTCACAGAGATGGGGGAGGGGTGCCAACAGCAACTCGGCCCCGACCCTCAAACCCTCCAGGATCTGCAGCCGTGCCAGACAGAGTGTGCAGGCGGCTAGGGGCCAACGGGGCAGGGGCTCTGGCTGCCCCCTTTCTGGGCTAGTGTCCCTTAGCCAAGAGCCAGCCCCTGTCACCCCCGTCCCCAGGGGCCCGAACACTGACAGCCCCCCTAGAACCACCTTGGACATGGCCCGCTGAAAACCTACTTCCCTAGCAGGGGGGCCTGAGGGAGCTGTAGGCAGCGATGGGTGAGTAGCCCTTTCCTGCCACAGTTCCCAATCCCACTGCAGTGTGCGGGCTGGGCAGTAAAGCCAGCTCTGGGTCTTTGGTGGGGGCACCTCTGACATCACCCCCAGGACAACCCAGGCAGGAAGCCAGGGGCCCATTTCACAGATGAGGAAGGAAAGCTCAGAGGAAGGTGGAACTGCCCGGACTGCCCAGCAAGGTGAAGGGGTACCAAGAGCCTCTCCAGGAAGGAAAAGTCCACATGGGGGCAAGGGACGGGGGGATCCTGAGAGGCCTGGGCTTGACAGCATCCCACGGATTCTTTCCTCTCTTTCCTGGCCTGAGGCCAGGACACTGGGGTCCAGCCCAGCCCTCCCCACTGCCCAGGAGTCACTCTGGCTCCAGACAGCAAGGTACTTGCCCGCTCATGTCAGGCCTGGCTGGGCTGTGAGAGAAGGGTGGGAGGAGGCAGGGGACACAGCTGGACAGATTCCACAACTCTACCGGTTTAGACACCCAGTGCGTGACACTTTTTGGCTGCTTAGAAATTTTGGAGAAAGAACAATGTTCAAGCATTGTAGAGGCAGGAGGGACCCTTGGTGTCTTCTACTCCAGACCTGGCCAAAATTCCAGCTCTCCTGATACGTCTCTAGCCAGCAGCTTCCTGCCTCTGCTCACAACCTCCGCTGCAGGCCAGCTTACCACCTGCAGGCACCTGCCCATTCTCTGCCTGGTTTTGCAAGATGGTTCCACAGAGCAATAGAACTAAAATCTTCCTTCCTTCCTTCCTTCCTTCCTTCCTTCCTTCCTTCCTTCCTTCCTCCCTCCCTCCCTCCCTCCCTCCCTCCCTCCCTTCTTCTGCTTCCCCCCTTTCCACACATCTCTGAGCACAATTTGCATAGATAAGTATGTAAAGATGCATTCCCGTAACCCCAGCTAGGGAGCACTAGGTCCCCTGGGGGACCAAGGAAGCACAGGAGGCTACCTGGAGCAGATGTTATCTGGATTGATGTTCAGAGGATGAAATCCTGGGGGAAAAGATGGGAATTTCTAGACTGGGCATGTGTCAAAGAGCCTGTTCTGGAAAGAGCTGGCCTGATTCAGTATACAACAGGCTCAAAGTGGGAGAGCTGAGAAAGGTGATTCTTACCCCATGTCATGGAAACTCTATCACTGGCCCTGGTTCTCAGCCACGGAATTCCACAGATGCTGCGATCGATCCCCCAGGGAATGGCTTCTGGCCTTCAGGGCATTTTCCACAAACTTTCCTTTGGGAGGAGGATTTGCCTCTTGGGCCTGTTTGCAGAGATACAGGGCTGGAGACTGGGCAGTGCCCCCGGCCAGCTGAGGCAGGAAGTAGACAGCAGAGCTCTGGGGGGAGGAAAGTTACTCACAGCGTCCCAGTATGAAGGCAAGGTCCGCCAGTTCAACTTCTGTGTTTCCTCCACTCTGGACTTGTGGCTCAGGCTGTTGCACCCCACCCCCTGCCACCGGCAGCTGGGCACGTGGTCGCCCCTGACCCGGCTTTACCTGGCTGGCTAACTGGTCCAGAAAGCACTTGAACATTCTGTCTGTGTTCCTGAGAGTTGGGGACCCAGGGCCACCATGAACCACTGCCTAGGCAGGGCAGGTCATTGAGCCTGTTGGCGCTCATCCTGCGTCCTCCTGCTGGCCTCTGGGCCAAATGTGAAAGCCCGATTCTCTAGAACAACAGGAGCGGGGCGGGGGGGGGGGGGGGGAGTATTTTGTGAGGCTAAGCACAAAGCACATGCTGGGAAACATCAGCAGTGCAGGCAGATCACTCCCCAGGGCGTGAGGGGCTGCTGATGGAAGGGGGGCTCTCTGCCCAGGACAGGAGCTATGCGCCTCTTCCGTGCAGATGTGCCACGTGTGTTCGTGCCCTGGGCTCCTGGTGAACCAACACTAGCTCAGTTCTCTGCAACTCTGGCTGACGGGTGGGCCCAGTGGTCGATGCACTCGGGCTGCTCCTGTCCGATTTCCCTGGGCCTTAGCTGCTCCATATGCACTTGAACGCATGGTGGGGAGAGTTAGGATTTCCCCCAGTGAATCCAGGGACAGGATTCCAGGAAGATGAGGGCCTTGGACAAGAATACCATCCCCGTTCCTTCTGGGCATCTAGCATAGGGCTGCTTGTTCTCGCTCGATGATGAGTTCGTTCCTCTAGGCCAGGAAAGGCAGCTAGCTCCAGCCCCAACAGAGCCTGGCATGGTCTGGGCTCCATAATCACACACTGAGTTAATTTACCTCCTTGGCGCAGAGCCTGGCACAGATCTGGGCACGCGGTCAGGTGCCCGGGCTGTTTACCCAAACGCTTCATCTTTAATTAACCTCAAGCTGCATCTCAATACATCTCATGCCACACTCGGCCCCAAACAGAGGGAAATCTGGCCCGTGTGCTTCTAATTCCTTTACACTTATCTCATCCCAATAAGGCTCTATACCAGCTGCCTGATGGCCAGCAGGCCCTCACAGCCCGCTTTCAAGTCAAGCTAAGCCCCTTCCCGCTCGGAAAGAGGAAGTCACTTTTCTGCCAAGGGTAAATGGACGCCAGACTTGACCGGGGTCAAGTTCAGTTTACTGCCTGGTGCCCACAGGGCTGGCTGGACCCTCTGAAGCAGAATTCAGGGCTCTTGCCAGGCCTCAAGCTCAAACCCATCCATCTCGAGTTGAACTAAAGAGAACTCAGCTGCCCGCCGAGATGCCCCTAGGTCTTCTGACCATCAAGTGAACAGCCCAGATTCTACCATCTCAACTCGGAAACAGTCACCATGCTAGGCTCAATGGCACCGGGGTCCAGTCAGTCACCACCAGGCTTGCCAGGGAAACCTAGGAAAGAATGAACTAGGAATTCTGGCACCCCAGGGGGCCAGCAGACTTGACCAGCTGTGCTGCCTTGGAGAAGCACTTTCCCTCTCCAAGGCCTTATTGTTGCCTTTACTGCTATTAACTGTCAAGTGTTGGCTCCTTTCTGCTCAGGCTTTATGATGAGTCACCAGACCTGTACAGGGTTTAGCCGGGGCGGGGGGGGGGGGGGGGGGGGGCGGGGAGGACCAACCTGGTTCTCCACCTGCTCGGCCTGGGCCTTGGGGGTAGAGGAGTTTGTTACTCCAGGTTTCTACTTGGCTGCCACCTCTCTCACTTGCTCCCAGCTCATCCCCTGCTCAAGCCTCTGATTTGGCAGGGGTATAAGAAGTTGAGGGGTGGGACATAGGGCGCCTCCCATTGCCAAGCCCTGTGCTACATAAGCCTCTGGCAAATGGGCTCTCAGCGGGAGAAGCAGCTGTGTCCCCCCTCGGCTGAACAATTTGGCATATGGGGGACAGGTGTGGTCTAAATCATGCTAATAGGGCTGTTTCCTGGCGGGGTGACCCTGGGCCAGTCTCTTTCCCAGGGGCTCTGATTCTTCATCTGTGAAACGGGGACACACTGTGGCAGAGAGGGCAGCTCTGAGGCGACATATCATCAGCAAGGCCCTGACCTGAGCTGGCCCTTCTCCTTCCATTCCCGCCCTGCCCAGCTCACCGGGACCTCAACAGCCTCTTCTGGAAAACAAGATGGACCCTTGGCCAGGACAGACATTCTGACTTGCGTCCAGATTCCTCACCTCCCACCATGACTTTGGGCCACCTCCTTCCTCTTTTTTGGATCCCAGTTCACTCATCTGACATGTGAGATTGGGGAACTCCTTCCCTCCCTCAGCGTTTCCCCCACCCCAGGCATTTGGTTGAAGCCCTTCCTGATTGCTCTGGACACCCAGGGATGCTCAGGGCTTCAGTAGCAGCATTCTCATCCCCAAAGTATCTCCCCAGCCCCAGGATGCACGCAGCGAGGGAAGGACCAGAGCATTCCTATCTCTGGCTCCCATGTCCAGCTTCACGGAAGTGAAGCCTCCCTCTGAGCGCCCCGCCATGGGGAGAAGTCAAACCTGGATTCCAGAAGTTTCTGCTGACCCAGGAGCAAACTCACTCCCAGCCAGTCTATACGAGGCCTTGGACGTCCTGACAACCTGGGTTCATCCCCTGGGGTGGCACTGGGACTCATTTAAGGAGTTAATCACATAGGCCACATGAAAATAGCTTTATCGGTAGAATAAATACATTTTTCTCTTTTAATATGGACATATTTTACAAAAGAGCCCCATAGCACTATGGGAAATAAAGATCCTTCTACAAAAAAGAAGATGTATCTCAGGTACATAAAGCTCTAGTGTTCTAACGGACCCGTCTGGACTGCCGTGAGGTGTCAGGTCCCCCTGGAGGTGGCAGCAGGAGCAGTGGGGGGTGGCTGCAGACCCCCCAGTTTCTCTGGCTTCTCTGCCCACCCGAGGCCTTGGTCACGAGGGCCCGAGAGTGCGCAGCAGAAGGCTGGCGGCGCAGGCGTGGACGAGGCCCAGGGCAGGCTGGGAGCGCTGTGCGGAGCTGTTGGTGGGCCCCCGCCCTTCCTGCTGGGGGAGCTGGTCCGGGAGCTGTAAGGGGGGCTCGGCAGTCTCAGGGCTGTGCGTGGGCTGCAGTGGCAGAGGGGGCAGCGAGCCGGTGGTGCTGGCAGGAGAAAACACAGGAAATTTGGAGTGACCACTCCGGAGCGAGGACACTTGGGGTGACCACTCTGGAGTGAGGACCCTTGGGGTGAGCACTCCGGACTGAAGATACTTGGGGTGAGCACTCCGGAGTGAAGACACTTGAAATGACCACTCTGGAGTGAGGGCACCTGGGGTGAGCACTCCAGAGTGAGGGCGCTTGGGACGTGCACTCTGGAGTGAGAGCGCTTGGGGTGAGCACTCTGTGGTGTCGTCCTGGACCAGGCTTCCCGGTGCCCACAACTTCCTTGTAGCTTGTGTTTCATATCAAGTGAAGGAAACAGACTCAGACCAGGAACCGGGAGCCCAAGTCACATAGGCACATCTGGATTACTGACCCTTAGAAGGAAAAGGACGAGCTCCTGGGGGGAAGAGGGAGGCCTGGGAGTCCCAGGGGTAAGTAGCCCCATCACTGAGGTAGGTGGGTGCATGTTCCAGACCCGGCGGAGGCGCGCAGGATGCTCAGTGGAACACACCAGGCCCTGTCTGCCACTGCATCCATGGGGCACACCCGGGCCCTAGGACAAACCTTCAGATGGGGCCACACACACTCACCCTTTCCTGCCAGACAAGCAAACAGGCTGAGAGAAGCTCAAGTTGGCCAGAGGACATTGGGGGCCAGTCCCTCAGGTCTTCCTTCGCAAAGCCCCAGGAATTTCAGGAACTCTGGCCTCTGTCATGAGCCCGTGAAAAGGAACCCAGCTTGGGCACCACGGACTGGCATTGCTGGTGCAAGAAGGCTGGAGAGAAAGTGGGGCACGAGGGCGACAGAGAGGTCAACCCAAGAGGCCAAGCACAGAGCAGACAACGACAAGCAAAGGCCAGTTCTGGGGCATGGTGAGGGTGGGTATGTGGGTTGGGGGGAGATGGCCAATGACTAGGGAGGAAGGGCAAGACAAGGGCCTGGTCAAGAGAGGGACACAGGTCAAAGAGAGGCCAAAGGAGCACGACGGGGGACACACTCCAGGGTGAAGAAGGGGCTGCCCACCCTCTGCACCCCAAATTCTGTGGCCTGCATGGCTCCTTGCACCCTGGGGCACAGGAGACACAGTGAGGTCAGACAAGCCCTGCCACACTCCAGGGCAAGGAGGGGAGGGGAAGCAGTGGGGTAGGGAACACAGAGGAACCCCACTCAGTGCAGGGCCAGGAAGCAGTGGGAAGAGGGGGTCACACCTGCAGCCAGCCTTGATGCCGGAGGTCTAGCACCTTCAGACTCAAGGGCTCGCTCCGGAGCTCAGGTCTTCGCCAAGAACCCAGTGCACATGAACTTCTAAATCTCACATTAACACCATGTGGGAAAGACCTCTGAAGAAACTGAGGCACAGAGGGGCTCAGATGGGCTCAGACAATCACCTCCCCCATGGCCCAGAGCGTCTCTCTTGCAGCCTGGATCAGCCCCACCCGGGCAGTGGGCTGGAGGGGCCTGGGTCTCCGCGCTCACCACCCCTTCTACTGGTCTGGGACTAGCATTCAAAGACTCTCCCTTACCAGAAAGGGTCCTGCCTCCCTGCCCTGGCCCCTTGCTCCTTTGCTGCTGATCCGGGTGGGCCGTAATCATCCCTCCTTGTCATGGTTCTCTCTCCCTCTGCCCCTCGCCACCCCATCTCCAGAGACTTCCCCTGGAAGCTGTTTTAGGTGGGTGGGAAGACATGGGGAGGGATGTGGAGGGGACAGGTGCCCCTTCTGCCTCCAATGTCCCTCCTGCCCATGAAGTATCGCCACGTGCTTCCCCAGCCCGTCTTTCCCCAGCTTGGATCGGCAGCAGCTGCCCTCCCCGTCCTGCCCGCTCCCTACCCCGCCCCACATAACATCACTGCCTGCTGCTTGCTCACCACACAGCTGTCTCTAAGCTGCCCTTGCCCAGAGGACTCAGACGTGTCCTCCGTGCCCCGGTGCCCCCCAGGAGAGGTGAGGCTCCCGACAAACCATGTCCATGTCCCGCTGATGATGGCTACTTGTCCCAGGTCCCTCTCCGTTAGTGGAGGCAGGGGCAAGTTTCTGCTGCTCACCCTCTGAAGGTGAGACGTGGCACTATTTTTCACAGCAGTTATGCCCATCTTTCCCCACTACTAACAGAGTCCATCTCTAGCACGCGCCCCTGTGCCGCAGACACAGTGCCAGACGCTCAGCTGTGATGGGCGTCAGATTATTATTCCTGTTTCCGAGCCAAGGAAACAGAGCTGGCGGGAGGGCAGGACGTGCTTGGGGCAGTCTGGCCTCTGTATCCCTGGATAGTGGAGGGGGCACAGTGGGAGGAAGCACCAGGAGGAAGACTGGCGCCCTGCTGAGGTCCCCGGCGGGGGGGGGGGTGCCTGCACTCAGTGGGGTCACAGACTCAGCCCTTCTGCTACTCTTTTTTTTTTTTGGCTAATGAAAGGAAAGGCTTCACATCTACAATCACACACACACACACACACACACACACACACACACACACACACACACACACACAACACATACACAACACCAAACGTTCGTGCAAGTTGCTTCCAGCTGCTGTTGGATGCTTTCAGGCCGAGTGCCGGGGAGCCTGGTGGTGCACAGACCCAGGGCAGGAGGCCGGCCTGCCACTCCTCTGCCCCAGCTGGGGTCAGGCTGGCAGCCAGCCCTGGCGCCGCCTCTGAAGGGAGACCAAGCGGGAGTTCGGAAAGCGACTCGAAAGGCGCCCGAAGGCGTTTGCTTTCGCACTTTGAAAACCAAAGAAGGAAAGTCTCTGTTGGAGCCTGGGAGGGTTTTTTATTGCTTGGAAGGAGTCCCAGGGAAATGAAGTGAGGCTGGGGGGTGAGGAGGGAAAGCCCCTCCAAATCACCCCCGTTGCCCCCCTGCCCTGGGCCCACAGCTCAAAAAGCTCAGTTCCCAGCCCAGTCCCCCACCCCTGCCCCAGGCCCATGCTGGGGAAAGTGTCTCGTGGCAAAAGGGCTTCGAAGCCAAAGCAAACACTTGCGTGTTCCCAGGCTCTGCAGACGGCTGGCACCCAGGGCCCGGCTGCCCTGTGCGCACAGGGCCCTGAGTGGGGAAAGGCCTCTCTGCCCAAGGGGAAGGAGGGAGCTGTTCTAGTTGCCCGGTCACTTCCTTGAGACTTTGCACAAGTCTGGCCCTGAAGTTCCCTTATTCGTTCCAAGAAGGACCAGGCTCAGGAAGGATGCCGAATTTCCGAGCAGTGGAAGCCAGGAGTGAGATCTTGAGCAGAAGCCCCAGGTAGAAACCTCAAGAAGTAGGGCAGGTGACTGAGGCAGGGCTGCCCGAAGCCCTGCAGGGCCCCAGGGACTTGGCAGAGCTGAGGATGGGTCTGCAGGGTCTGGCCCCAAGAGCCTTCCATGTGGTCCTGCTGGAGGAGACCTCCCTGGCCTCAGTGGCAGCCTCTCTAGGTCACGTGCCAGCAGAGCCCTAAGATGACATGTGCCCCGTCCCAGCATCTCAGCCATAACAGCCTCCGGGCCTTCTGCCACAGTCTCCTATGCGGGGGACGCTGCCCTCCCCTCAGCCTTGCTGGGTCCTGTCACTGGGGGTCTCTGGCCTTCGGGGCTCCTCGCCCCCAGACAGGGCCAGGGTCCTTTTGCTGCCCTATTCTGGGGCACCGTTCCTGTGCCACCCAGGGGCTCACTGATTTTCTCAGCCTCAGACGGGTGTGGACCCACAAGCAGCTTCCTGCTTTAGAGAAGGGGATTGGGGCAGAGACTGTTCTCTGGGGTCCAGTGCCGATGCCGAGGCAATTTGCGGAGTCATCAGGTCTGAGGCTGGCTGACCACCTCATCGTTGCAAAGCTAGGCTTGGCAGTCAGGGTGAAATGCCCTGGATGTGCTGGTTTATTTTTTTTTGGGGGGGGGGGGGGAGGACACCTGGTGACACTCAGGGCTTACTCCTAGCTCTATGCTAAGGGCAGGGATCACTTCTGCTGAACCTCAGGGGCCATATGTGGTGCCAGGAATTGAAGTGGGGTTGGCTAGATGCAAGGCAAAGTGCCCTACTCTCTGTAATATTTCTCTGAGATGCTTTCATCCTGCTCGACCTCTTACCAGACACAAACGCTTAGTCGGCTTTGCCATCCTCCCATCCACACTCCCAGCCTGGAAGGGAGAAGGCCGGAGAACTGCTGTGCCAGGAAATGGAGTTGGTAAAGCCAGGCATGAGGCGGGAAAGGGCTACCCGGCAGGGAGTGGGCCCAAGGCTGAAGCACCACATCACCCCCCCCCCCCCTTCATGGGCTTCCAGGCAACTGCTCAAGCCTTGGAGAATGAGGCCCGGAAGGGCAGTGACCACCCCAACCTCTCCACAGAAGCACTGACACGGCTCTGGGTCTCCAACACACTGATGTCCCCTCTGTGACTTGCTTCCCTGTGCCCAGCCCTTGGGAGTGCCTGTTCTTAGCACCTGCCCCACAACTACTGTCTTGCCAATCCTGGTGGTCCAGCACCACACGTGCAGACACGCAGGCATGTACACAGGCAAAACTGACACCCCAGCCGTGCCCTGGGAGGACAGTGCTGGGTGGACTTTCAGTGACCGGTCAACACCTGATCTGCATAAGCTCCCATGCTGCGTTGGGGTGCAGCCCAGCACACCATCTGCAGGGACTCTGCCCTGCCCTCCCTGTCACAGTCCTGCTGTCTCCTCCTGGTTCTCAGATTTGGGGCTTCCTGAGAGGCCTCTGTCACTGTTGCACAGCCATCTGCGGACACACGCTTGGCCCTTTCCACGGGTCCCCATAAATCATCCCGCCACGGGCTGTTGCTTCTCTAAACTTCCTCCGTGTGTTTACATCTCGGGGAGTGAGGGGCGAGGGGAGGCCCGCATGCTCCAGGTGGTGTCCTGGCTGGGCGCTTGCGGCCCCGGATCCCTGCTCTCGCTCCTCTCACTCATGCATGCAGCCAACAAGCTGGTGACCCAGAGAGGCCCAAGTGCCAGCAGGTTTCCAGGGCTCTTGGCCAGGATAACCAACCAGGGAGCTGCAGTTTGTGCGCCCTGTGTGGACGTGGGGGCCAGGGGCCTCTAGTGGGGGTCCCCAGATGGATAGTGAGCAGCGGAGAGTTGAGAGAGGAGTGGAGGGTTTGGGGGGGAGAAGAAGAGACAGAATGGAACTGAAGCTCCAAGGAAAAGGGGAATGACAAGAGCCGCATCCTGAACTCTGACCTCTCTGGGGAGTCCTGCACCCACTTCTTTTTGGGTGTTTTGTTGGAAGTTTTAAGGAACTTCCAACAAACAGGCTGGTGGAAATTCCCTGCTGCAGCCCTACCAGATGGGAGAGAGCACTCTACCAGCTCACCCGCTGAGCCTGGGAAGCGAGAGGAGGCAGGAAGGGAACAGTGGGGACCCATCTGTTCAACTGCACCGTTCGGAGGGGCTGGGGTCCAGGGCGCCTGTGGATTGGACAGTCTAGCTTCTCATACCCCACAGGCTGGACACGCCTTTGGTGGGGACTCTGAAACCTCTGGGATTCAGGGTGCTGAAGCTCCTTATGATCCAGCAACAGGCACCCAGCACCCCTGTAGCCTGCTCCCCTCCCCAGGTTGAAGGTTGTGGTCCCCAGGAACTCTGTGCTCACACCCAGTTTTCAGGGTGCACAAGCTCAGCGTGTCCCTTCAATGCAGCCTCTGCAGTGCCCCTGCTCGGGCAGCCACAGCCAGGGCTGAGCGGAAGTACATTGCACTGGAACCTGAGCCAGGCGTTTGAAGCCAGCGCCCAGCAGCCAGAGCGCTTGGCATTTATTCGCTCGAAGTATTTTTGTTTTTAATTAAAAATAATTTTCCTTTTGTTTCTGGGCTACACCCTGCGGCACTCAGGACTCACTCCTGGCTCTGCGCTTAGGAATCACTCCTGGAGGTGCTCAGGGGACATTCTGGGGAGCCGGGGATTGGACCTGGGTTAGTCCTGTATGCCAGCCAAGTGTCCTACCTGCTGTACTATTGCTACAGCCCTAATCTTTTTAAGACAGTGCACACCACATGTGGTGAGGTCGTGGGCTGAATTTGTCAGCCCTGGGCAGATGACTCAGAGACCTGGCAGAAGGAGGGCAGGAAGTGACAGGCACAGGAGGCAGCCCTGATTGTCTGTGTGGCCTTGGACAAGCCCCCACTCCCTTCCCTGGCCATGGTGCCCCCGGGAGCACAGAGCTGGGCTGGCTGTGCAGATACAGCTTAGGAGGGCGCGTGCAGGTTGGGCACTCGGCTCCCCAGGCCCTGCTCTGATCTGTGTGGTCCAGGATGGACTCTGCATAGGGGATTCTGCCCATCACACCAGCCACGCCCCGGGTGCCTGCTGACTTAGTTCACAAGTTGATTCCCTGACAAAGCAGACCTGTAGGCAACCAGGGCAAGGTGGAGGGTGACAGACAGATGTCATGGATAGCAGGAGACTGGTGACAGGCAGGCAGACTGTCGTAGACAAGGGCCGTCCAAGCAGAGTCAGCAGAGGACAGGATGGGCTGATGCGCACGCGCATGTGTATGTGTGTGTGATGTCAGTGAGGATCACAGAAATCCCCCGTTGTGACACAGAGCTGAGCGGAGTGGTGGGCAGTGGCCTCCCTGCACAGTGGGGTCCCTTCCGCAAGGCCCCCAGAGAGGTTCTCTGTGCACGCCCAGGTCCAGGGCCCCCAACAGCCTGCTCCATGGTCTTCTAGTGTCATGGTCGGGCCCAGGGGACAGTCAGAGCCCCGGGAGACCCAGTGTGTCCAGAAGGAAGAGGGTAAAGTCCACTTTCCTGGCCTGGAGGAGCAGGGGAGGAAGCCTGCAAGGGCCATGTCCTCCATGCATGGCCACAGCCTCCTTAGAGCAATCTGGCAGGAAACTGAGTGCCGGCCCAGGTACAGGGGTCTGCGCTGGGGCCTCCCAGCATCCCTGCCCATAGACCTTACTGTCCTCAGGGGACAGAGGAAATGGCCTCACCTGTCCTCCAGACGGACCCAGAGGTCATTGAACTGGCGCGGCCGTGAGTGCTTGTTCTGTCTCTTGTGCCACTTCTTCTGCCGCCCGAACTCCTCCAGCTGGCTGAGGCTGTCGGGGAGCAGGAGGTGGGCGGACAGGCCGGGGTCCTCCTCCTCAGGCGGGGCGGTGGGGGTCGCTGAGGGCACTGCTGGTAAGGCAGCAGTGGGGGTCACTGGGGCCGGGCTCGCTGAGGTCCCCTCGGGAGCGGGTGCTGGGCTCTGGGCAGCAGGGCTGGAAGGGACAACAGCACAGGTGACGTGGGAAGGAGCGGGAAAGCAGGAGCCCAGCCAATGGCAGGCGGGAGAGGTCCCTGCCCTCCTGGCGCGAGCCCCGCCGCAGGTAGGAGGGGAGGTGCTGCCCGCTACAGGGGCAGTCAAGCCCCAAGGACTGTAGGACGGTCACAGCAGCAGCTTCTCTCCACCACGTGTGGCGGAGTCACTTGAGGAGTTACTTAACTGCTGTGTTTCAGTCTCCTGGAAAATGGGTGTGTGACGCCTCCACCCCCAGTCCCAGCAAGGTCGACCCCCTAAGTGAGCAGGTTGGCAAGGCCCTGAAAAACTGCGTTGGTACCAGGCTAGCGGCTGAAGCCTTTCTCTGAGGATTGCTAGTGACCACAGAGAAATGTCATCTGCTCCTAGTCACGGGGCCACATGTCCTCATGCGTCCAACTCCGACTTACTGGAGCACCTTTCTGGGGGGGTGGCAAGACATGGCAAGTGGGTTCACACTAAAACTGGAGGTCTGGGGACACAGGTGTGGCCTGGCCTTACCCTCGAAGGCAGTGACAGGGCATGTGTGCTGTGGTGCTGAGCTCGGGGGCGCAGAGGCAGGAGGATGGGTGTGTCTAACCCTGTGCCAGGTCAGAGGCATCAGGTGTCACTTAACTGCTGTGTCTCAGTCTCCTGGGAAATGAGTGTGTGACACCCCCCACCCCAGCCTCAGCAAGGTGGACCCCCCTAAGTGAGCAGTTGGCAAGGCCCTGAACAACTGCGTTGGCACCAGATTAGCAGCTGAAGCCTTTCCCTGGGGATCACTAGTGACTGCAGAGGAATATCATGACACACAGGAGTGAGTGTGCGTCCCTAGGAGGCAGATGAGACAGCCCAGCCTGGGAGCTCATTCCCTCATTCCCTTTGCTCTGCAGGCACAAGCTGTCCCCCTGGGGATGCCTCCAGCTTCCTGTCCGTGTCAGGTGGGGGCTGAGACCGGGTTGGGTCAGCATTCTGGAGCTGACAGAGAAGATGGGCCCAAGGCAGCCAGCTCCCTTCCCTCCAGGCTCATGGAGTCAGGGATTTCTCCTCCCTTGAATGAGCTGGGCTGGGTTTCCCAGACCCCACAGCCTGAACTGAGGCTCTGAGGGTCCTGGAGCTGCTGCAGGAGCTGGGTAGATGATGACTCAAAGCAGGCAGACAAAGGGGGCCCCCAAGAAGCATCTGCAGCTCTTGATGACTCTCACTGTCAGGGCCCCTGGCCTTGCAGGATTTCAGGTTATACTCAAGACTGGCTGAGAGCCCTTGGAGCAAGCATTAGTGGGGGGAGGTGTGGGGGACCCCTCTAGGGTCCAGTTTTGAGATTAATAGGACACACACAATGAGCTTTAAGGTGAAGGTCCTCAGGGTCAGGAGGTGGAGGAAGGCCTTGGCCCTGGGGTTGCAGGATCCCCCTCCCTGCCTTCTTAGGGAGCCAAACAAGTACCTCAGATGGGACAGGGGGGCCCATGAGGCCATTTGGGGGACCCATGAGGCCATTTATTTGTAGATGCCTCTCATGGGCCCCTCGGTTGGGAGACTAGAGGCTCCAGGCTTCAGGGAGCTCCAGGCATCTTTTTGTACAAGAGGGAGTCAGGGCTATTAGGTCTGAGTTGCTCCTTCCCCTAGCCCCGCTGTGGAATGAGAAGTGATTAGAACTCAGAAAGGCCTTATGACCAGCCTGCACCCTGGACGAGGGCTGTGTGTCCTCCTGCATGTGACTGCTCCTCTCTGGACCTCCAGCATTGCAGTGTGTGGATGGGGACACTGCCAGCCCCCCAGCTGTGAATGCTGAGTACCCGGCCCATGCAGGAGGGTGAGAATGGTCGGGGTGCCTGTCCCCCTCTGCGTCCTGGAAACTGGGAGTGGAAACCGAGGTCACAATGGGGTCACCCTCAGGGATGGGTGGAATGGTGGAAGCATGGGCCGCGTGGATGCCCCCACACCCAGTTTGGAATCCCATCACTGGAGCTGACACCTGGGGCCAGCAAGGGAAACCCCCAGTGCAAGAGGGGGCTCTAGGCACCCCATGAGACTCTGCATGGAGTGGGTGGCCCTGGACTGGAGCGTCGCTGATGGGCCCCCCCGCTGATGGGTAAGAGGCAGCAGTAGAGAACCATGGTCAGAGGATGGTCAGCACAGGAGTGGGCAGAGAGCATCCACCAAAACCCCTAGAAAGCAACCCAGGGGTCCAGTAGGGTCCTGCCTCGCACCCGACACCCATCTAAATCCCAAACATCTCCGCCCCAAAGCCTGTCTCCCACCCTCTGGCTGTAGACAGTCTCCCGGGGAACCTTTGGCAGGGGCTTCTACACAGTGCCCCCTGCAGGCACTAATGGGGACAGACTGTGTCCTGGCACCTCTTACCTGTGGACTGTCTGCCCCGCAGGCGTATGCTCCACCTCCAGCCCCCCTTGGCGGAGGACGTCAATGACTGTGTTGTTCCCCAGAAAGTGACCTGAAATGGAAGCAGAAGGGATGGGCTTGCTCAGGGCGGCAGCGGCTAAGATAGAGGGCAGCCTCAGGCCAGTCTCAGCAGGCCCAGGACTGTCTCAGAGGGCCACAGAATGGGAGGAGTCCTGGTCCTGCTGCTCACTGGGTGTGCTGGGCCGTGCCTCAGTTTCCCCATCTGCAAAGCAGGGCCATCATGAAGAGGAGGAGATAGTGTCGGCATAAGAAGCGAGGGGCTCCTGGGTTTCCTGGTGTGTCACTGTGACCCATGCTGTTAAAGGTACCTGGCCCTGGGTTGTCTGGGCAGGAACCGCCTCCAAGTCCAGCTCTGTGAAACCTCCGTCAGGAGGCCCACCAGCACCCACCAGGTCTATGGCTCATCTTGGCAAGTTGCATCAGCAGCTCGGAGCTCTGTCCCTCGTCATGGACTGGGCTCCTGTGTCCACATCTCCACACCAGGACCGTGAGTTTTCAAAGATGTGTTTGTTTACCATCTCCCAACACTGAGGGACAGACACAGGCCCAGGATGGCTCTGGAGGACTTAGGAAGGAGTAAAGTTGGGGGGAGGGAGAGAGAGGAAGCCATGTGGTCACAGGGGCCCAGCAGACAGGGATGTGGCAGAGGCACAGCTCTGAGGTGCCTATGTGAAGGCGGCCCTAATCATGGGTCATGGGTCCCCCAAACATGGCGCTGCCCTTGCTTGGGGCAGACACAGAGGACACGGGGTTGTGCAATGTGGTCCCGGTCCCGGGGGAGGGCGGACATCCTGCCTGGCAGATGTGGGGCTCAGGCCTGAGTGTGGACCCACCGGCTCCCAGCTCTGTGGGGTCTTACAGGCTGCCAGGTGGTGGGGAGGGGTCAGTAGAGCTGGGAGCCAGGACCTGACCACGCCACTCCTTCCCCTGGCACCCAGGGGAGTGGGAAGGTACTTGTCCAGAGCCCTGGGACCCCCCCTGGCCATGTGGTTGCCTGGCCCCACACTCAGGGCTGTGTTCTCCCCTCCTGCTGCCCTGTCAGCCCTGAAGCAAGAGAATCTGCTCTGTGACTCTAATTGCCCGTGACGGGCGGTGACAGGTGGGAAGCGGGAAGGTCAGCGTGCTGACAGCCTTGGGGAGGTCTGAGGCTATGGACAAGCTGCTGGAGAGCAGAGACCCCTGGGAGTGTGGTGGCCAGGCCAGAGAAAGGGTGCTCAGCAGATCCGGTGGCACAGGGCACCAGACCCAGAAAAATCAGGCCATAGCACCCGTTTAAACTAGGGCACAGGATCTGTAGAACCAGGGCACAGGACCTATATAAATCAGGATGTGAGACTTGGATAAACCAGGACATGAGACCTGCATAAACCAGGGCATGGGACCTGTATAAACCAGGGCACGGGACCCAGATAAACCAGGGCATGGGATCCAGTTAGTGTAAACCAGGATATAAGACCCAGTGTAGACCAGGATATAGGGACTGGTATAAACCAGGACATGAGAATGAGACTCGCACAAACCAGGGCATGGGGCCTGCAGAGTCCCTGTGTGGCGTGGCACTCCAAGACTGGCTCCATGGCTCCCCAGCCTCTCTCTACCCACCTTTCCTTGCCACAGTTCCTTGAGACCCATCTTCTACCTTCAAGCTCTAGAAGTGAGACAGCTTACTCATTCAGGGCCTGGCCAACCCACCACGCAGGGCAGCCCCCAGCTCTGAGCACAGGGCAGGGCAGGGGCCGCACCCCCACTCTATCTCTCTGGTTGTGTGGGAGGTGCTCAGTCCTCTCCGTCTCTCCATGTTGAGCTGACAAATGCAGTCCAAGTGCCCACCCAGAGGCAGAACAGCGGGGGCAACACCTTCCATTCCAGCCTCTCAGTTCTTTGACTCTAAGCACTAAGTTCAGGAAAGCACCCGAGGTTTTGAGGCCCCCCTGGAAGCACTGGATCCAACCTTGGGCCCAGGAAGACGGAGGCATTGCTAACTGAAGGATGGGAGAAGGGTGAGAGAGATTGGTAGCACCGGAAAGGGGTATCTCTGGTAGGGAAGGGCATGCAGAGACTAAGGAGGTAAGTGCCGCTGGTCTGCGGCCACTGGCAGAAGATACAAGGACAACAAAGGTGTGAACCGGCCCTGCAGGGCCTGACCCAGTGCCTGTGAAGACAGGAACCTGTGTAGGCTGCGAGTCTCCAGGATGTGATCCTGAGCAAGTGGCTTTCCTGTTCCAACCTCAGTTTTCCTGTGCATCAAATAGGCACATACCCTTTGGCCGACTCCTTGGTTGGGGGTTCTAATGCCTAATGAGGTAGGAGGAGCAAATGTCTTTGGACAAAGCCGAGTGCACTCCTGGGTGACGGACTAGCCAGTCCTGGCAGGGGGGTGCTGGAAGGGAGTTGGCTGGAAGAGAGAGGCTTGGAAGGGATGGAAGGAAGCGAGCTGGGAGAGAGCCGGAAGGGAAAGAGCTGGAAGGAAGCAGACTGGGAGAGAGGACGAAGGGAAACAGGCAGTTGGCTGGCAGGGAGTGAGCGGGAGTGGGGCTCCAGAGCACTGGAGCAAAGTTCCTGCCATCAGCCCTTGAAGCACACACCTGAGGAGCCAAGGCACTTCCTTCTCTGCCTGCTGGACAACTACAGAAGGGGGCCAGCGGGGCTCTTCTCAGAGATACTCCAGAGGTCTCCCCCGCCCCTCCAAGCTGCCTAGGAGTAGCAGCATCTGCACTGAGGTGTGAGATCTGCCGGGGGGCTTGAAAAGTGAGCCCCCCTAGATGGGTCCCTGCCCCTCTCCCACGCTGGCCCACACTCTCAGAACTGCATCTGAACCCCACCCAGAGAGCTCTAGGGGCTTTGGGATGTCGGAGGCAAGGAGTGATGATTCTTCCAGATTTCTACGCCCACACACCTATACCCGCTTCCATCCAGGAGGAGAAACCTTGTTCCCCCCTTTGCTTGGTCTCAGAGATGCAGTTCCATGTATCCAGGCTCCCGGACCTGGTGCAAATGCTCCCTCTTGAGCCCAGCACGCCCCACCAGCTCGGGGGGTCTGGCCGCACGGGACCCCATTGCGGAGCTGCCTCCTCAGATACCAGGGCACTGTTTCGTGTGTCTTGCTTCTGCCTATCTGTCTCTCACTCTCATTCGCTGCCCACTGCCTGTCCTGCAGCTGGGACCCTCCCTCACCGGCCTGTCTGCAACCCCCTTTCCCGCTCAGTCCACTCAGCTGGAGGACAGTGATCCACCCCATGGTCTTGGCGTCCATGCAGAGTTGACGGCGCATGAAAGGTACCTTTACCCAGTCCCTTTGTATATGCTGAACAACCCACTTGTCCCCCCCAAGACTTCCCAACTAGTCCTTCTCTCCTCTGATATGTTGCAACAGTGCTCTCCTGTCACATCAGGGGGTCCTCCTCCCCCACCTCCTTTTCTCCCCACCAGTCACCAGGTCTCCTGGTCCCCGGATGTTTCCGCTCAGCTGCCTGCTGGACAGTTTCAGAAGGGGGCTAGCGGGGATCTGCTCAGAGGTACTCCAGAGGTCCTCAGTGTCTGCCTGAGTCACTGTGGACAGCTTAGGAATGGGGTCCCCTACCCTAAGCCCACTCTGTCACATGTGGGCCCACAGCCACGTGGGGGAGGTCCTGAGCTTTCCGAGGGCAGGGCCTGTGCCTGATTCATCCCTGTCCTCAAGCCCCAGTCAGGCAGTCAGTGGCTCCAGGAATGTTTGTTGAATGAATGAGTGACAAAACCCATGGCACCATCTCCGTTCCATGATCTCATCGTATCCCCAGGAGACCTGAGCTCACCGATCTCCCACTTCCCTGCACAGCCCGAGCCGGGCCCCTGGGTGAGGCCCCTTCAGATCCCACCAATCCAGAAGCTTGGCTTCTGGAGCCTCTCCTGAGTCAGGGCCCAGCACATGCTGTCCCTGGGGCCCGGCAGACGGCTGCGGCAGGCCTCCAGGGTCAGAGTCCTGAGGCAGGCACCACGCCCCGGCAGGAGCTGAGGGAAGGTCGGGGCACTTTTCCAAAGGGGCCCACAGCGCTGAGCCCATGTGGCTCGCCCAGGTCCCTGGGGTCTCCTGGCTACCGCTCAGCAGAGCCTTCCAGCACTGCCAGCTCTCTGCAGGAAGGAACGTTCCATCTCATCTGCCGGGGTTGTGGGAAGAGAAGAGGAAATAGGGAGTCAAAGAGGAGGAGGAGAGCCCCGAGACAGGCCAAAAGAGACACAGAGACAATAGGAGGAAGCCAAGGAGACATGCCAAGACAAAAAGGGACAGAAAGAGACAAGGCCAAAAGAGAGAGAGACAGAGAGAGAGACAGAGAGAGAGAGAGAGAGAGAGAGAGAGAGAGAGAGACAGAGAGACAGAGAGACAGAGACAGAGACAGAGATGGAAAGCTGAAGGAAGTGGAGAAAGGAGAAAGAACCCAGCATAAACCAGGGCACGGGACCCAGTTAGTGTAAATCAGGACATAAAATCCAGTGTGGGCCAGGATGTAAGACCACTATGAACCAGGACAGGAGAATGAGACTTGTACAAACAGGGCAGCGGCCCATATAAACCAGGGCACGGTGGAGTAGAGCCTAGTGACCGATAATAGAGGGGACAGCTCCGCCCTTGCTGGTGGGGGAGTGCAGGTTTCAGAGACCCCAGATGGGTGGGACTCAGATGAACCTGGATTGGGCACAGGCCAGGGGAGGGGAGCAAGGGTCTAGAGGTCTGTCTGGAAAGCGTGGGCTGACTGCAGCCACCTCACCACGGCAGGGTCCTGCATAGCCCCAGAGCCCCACAAGGGGGAATGGCTGCCCTTCTTCCTGCTCCTGCTCTGGGAATGGGGAATGAGTTGGGTTTGGTACCTGCCTGAGAGCCCCCCTAGACAGAGGCAGAGTTGGTTAGAGGGCAGAGCCCTCTTCTAGGGAGTCAGACCAGAAAAATGGCTCAGCAGCCAACTGGCTGGATGACCCCAAAGCACATCCTTCTCCTCATTGTGCCTTGGCTGCCTGCCTGGTGGCCAGAGTCCTCCCACCTGGACGAATGCCCCC